CTGTAAATGTGATCCGTAAAATATCGCACAGAAATTTCCCTGGCAGAGAAACTGTGTTTTTATGTGTTTTGGGCTCGGGAAGGGGAGGGGCTGGGATAACTCCCCTGTATATGTTATCAGAGCTATGTGTAGCCCCAAAGGGTATGTTTTTAAACTGCTTATGTCTGAAAAAGGTGTAAATTTTGACCACATTGGAGTGAAATAGTTTGCTTTTCACTCTGGCTTGGCATTGAGTATTTTGTTTACATGGAACCGATTATTTCCGCATTAACATTGGTAAATTTGTAGCCCTTCTCAAATGTTTAAACAGATGGGGCCTTTTTCTGGTTTGCGGCAGTTGTATATTAGAGCTGCTTACTAATTTTACAGGTCTGATAATTGGTTATCAATTTTTCCCCCTGAGAGGGTGTTTTGGAGTTGCGTGACGTCTTGTATCTAACTATTTCATGTGACTGAGAGATCAATGCCGAATGATGTATCGTATACTATCATGATATATGTACCTATTTTGTTATATAATCACAATCTTTATAACTATTAATGAAATTCCTGCGAAATTTATCACTGTCAGAAAATAGTAGTAAGCTACAGAAGGGCAATGCCTTGGTAACTTTAAGCAAAAGTTGTCCCAAGTAATTGAAAGTTGAACTTGCATACAGACATGCACTGGAAGGGAAAATGGACTTCATGTTTACTTGCTGGTGCAGGCTAGCTGCAGTCCTATAACGGACGGCATGCAATCAAAAATTTGTGCTGGCTGCCTATGGGTGACCAAAGTGAGAAAAACTTCCATGGACTTGCCTGTAAATATTGATGATTGATCTCGACCAACATGAATGCAGGCCATCGTAAGTCCTTATGTCTACTAGCAACTCTGTTTGACCAATACATCAGGTCTTGAGAAAATAATAAAAAAAAGTTTCACAATGGAACTGATTTCACTGCCAGAATCGATAAAGATTATCAGAGCGGATTCACAGCCACCTTAAATTTTCCAAAGATTTTGGAAAATTTGAGGTGGTCCTGAATCTGCTCACATCATTCTTTTTACACTTACCAAAAACTTAAAACTTGACATGCTGATTAGAATTCGATTAAAAAAGGTTACAAGAGTCGTTCTTGAGTTACAAACCCATAAATCTAAAATTATGGGGTATTTCAAATGGGTTATTCTTTTGCAATATGCAATAATTTACATCAAGGAAATGGCCACCACTTGCTCACCAATGTTTGGGCATTTGTTTGATGCAATTATTGTAGCACTGAGGACAGGCAGGTGGCCAGATGGCACAGATTAAACGGTTGTCTAACGAGAATCAATCATAGGCGATGCAAATAAGTCAAACAATGGACTAGCGCCTATACAGCCACCATAATGTTTATAAATTATTGTATCCCATCTGCAACACAATGTGCACAAACAATGTGCAGAAACGAGTTCACTTTCCACTACAATCGTAAGCTTTTCAATACATGTCACATATTTTGCTTTAATTTCTTTTTACGGTATTTTGTGGTCTTATGTTTCAGCACCGGAGTTCTGTGAAAAAACCTTTCATGCTATGATTTCAAACACAAAAAAAAGACTGATGTGATATAATCCACATCATAGGCTACAACTACTCACCATGCTCTTATTAAATCTTTCGATTCAGGTTTTGGCAACGCAACAAAATCCTATCAATTGACCATTACGTGACAGAAAAATTAAGTCGACATCGGACTGTTAACATTTCACCATGCAGCATGAGTGAGGAGAACAGAACATCAAGCATTTCATTTTAGCAAGCAAGGAAGGCTTCACTACTTTTATGGATTGCTTTTTAAGAACAAGGGACAGGAATGTGGTGGATTACCTCGGAGTCATTAGTTGAATGTCAGTGACAAGATGATGTACTTTGCCAAACTCCACGCATCGCAATGGTTATCGTGTAGGATTCTGAATACATGTACACCAGCACTTAATATTTGAATGTAATATCTTACAGATTGGAAGGTGAGCTAAACATGACTTTTTCTACCACAGTTTAAGTCTGAATACCAAGGAAATCAAATGAAAGAAGACTTTTTCACATTCCGTTTGATTATCAGGTCACAGGCACTTGCCTATTGTTTTTGTTTCTAGCAGGTTAGAGGACATTGTCATTATCACGCTTTTGAGAGCATTAGTTCTCAGTGCTGATGGAAAGCCCGAAAATAATTTTATACCAGGTTTTACACTGACATTTTCCTCTTTCACAATGTCAGAATCTTAGGTGTTTTGCTGTTTCAGCAGGCAGTGAATTTGCCAATTCAAAATACATAATTAAGAATTTTGAGGAAGCGAATTTCAGTAATCTTAAGCGGCTCATTGTGACCTTGAAAATTAACCCACAGAAGT